TATTAGTATTGAAATGATGTTTATATTTTTGTCTCGCTAATGCACGAAAATTGCCATTTACGGGTCATAGAAATCTTTTATGTTTACTAATTGCAATCTGCAAATTAACACTTTTGCTATACCAAAACAGGCAACATCATCAAAATTTAAAGCAGAATATTTTTAAAGTAAAACTTGACTTGGGAGTAAGCTGGTTAACGCGTGACGAAAGCGTTACGAAAGGTGTGATCTGCCGAGGCGGACGAAAGTGAGAGGGAGATATAAGTTAGTAAAGATAGCTGATAGTGTTTACGGTTCGTATATTATTGTAGGAGCAAGGGAAAAGAGCAGTGCACGCGCACATTTTTTTTCTTTCTCGCTTTCTTTCATAGCCAGTGCATGAAATATATACATATACTGTATAATATACTGTCATGCATATCTCAGTCTGATTCTTTTTTTAGTTTTCTCTAGATGTCTTTTCTAATCTTCATTCGAAAAACATTTGTATCTTATTTATCATACGAGTATCATATGCCTATCGTTTCGGTCTAACAATCAAACCACAGTAATTATACTGATGTATCCGATGATGAATATAATGAAACTAATAAATTAAAAAAGAAATATCTGTTTAAAAATATTTAATTTATCGCTGATATAATCGCAAAAATATTTGTACAATTTTAATATTTGTATACGTATATACATTATACATGTCTGTATTATACATATAAACTTTGATTTGCGTATGGGATGGAGCGAAAGAAGTTTTACTTCAGTCGTGGGGTCTAAAAGCACACTTGTTTTTAATTTATTTTTTTAAACAGAAAAATTGTAAACTAAAACTGTAATATATGAAAAATCTGCTCTCCTTTAATATCGATGTGTGAAAAATATAAGAAGAAAACTAAATAGAAACTACGGTTTTCTATTGCAAAGATTGCTGTTTTAACCCAAGAAAAACGCTGGTATTATCTATTATCAATATGAGGAACTCAATTTCAATATGGTAAATGTTATGAGTAAAGATCAATAATTAGTTATTTTGGAAAAATCGTCTTTTTTTTTTTTCCGATTTTTTTCTAAGGTTGGCACTGTATGACAGGCTGACTGTCCTAAAACGAGACTGTTGATATTGTTATTTGACATATGATATGTTTTTTTAATGGTAGGTATTACTTTAAACCCGGCATGAAACTACCAAATTGTAAAGCTAGTTTATTATAATGTTTACAACTATTACAAAATGGCTAATATATTATCAAGTCATTTCTAATAATAAGTGCAAATTTTTTGGATAGCTTACTGTTACAATTCTGAAGGGTTCGTTGTTTATTGTCCCTGCATGGGTATGATATTTTTTTTTTGTTTATACTTTGTAGTACTTCGTTTTTGCAAAAACTTTATAATAACTTGAACTTTTCCTTCTAGGCAGATTTTGGAAATCAGGCTGACCATTTTTTTTAGGTGCATTTAGCATTTAGTAAAGGTATTAATAGGACACTTGTATTACCACCATGGGTTGAATATAGATATGGAGAAGTCAAATCTATACAAGTACCATTTTGACGTATATTTTTAATGTTGAACATTTACGTCAATATCACGATGTTATAACTATGGAAACATTTATGAATGATATAGCTCCAAGTATTTTGGGCCCCCTGAAAAAAAAGGGTATCATTTTGTTTATACTCAGAGAATTGGTGAAATCAAAGAAAGTTGCAATGCAAAATCCGGAAAACCCATTTGGACCATTTTGGGATACATTTAATATAGATTTTGTTAAATCTGAGTTCTATGGACCACTTAATTATGATGCTCAAAATAAAAAAATATGATGGAATCATGGAAAAAGAAATATTCAAAAGACTGGCCAGTTCTTTGCATTTACTGGTGTGTATAATTAAGATTGGATAAATAATGTTCTAAGTACTACAATATATATTCATATTATAAGAATCTATACATTTCAACCTTTTTTTTTGGTTATAGAGGAGTAATATTTAACTCCAACACAGTTATTTAACATTTTACAAACATTAAGGGGTTAGTGTTTGATGAAAAACCTATTGTGAACACCATACATACAGTGTTATCACTGCTACATCAAAATTGTTAGTTTTTGTTTTACACATTAAAATGTTTTTAATAAACAGTAATCATTTAGGTTTTTAAGTTTTATAAATTATAAATTTATTTTTGCTGTTTTATTTGAGATGTTTTTGGTTGCCTTAGGGTATTTTTTTTTATTTATAAAATATAACCATGTTCAATATTCTTAATTCAGGTGCCCCAGCAAGTTTTCCCAGTACAAGTGGAAAATGTCCATTTACAAAAAATACTTAATTTTGGAGTGATGATATATTAAAAAAATCAAGATCATTCATTAAAAAACACATGAGTGGTGCAGGATTTTTGGGGATACATTTACGAAATGGTCAAGATTGGGTGAAAGCATGTCAGCATGTTAAAGATAGCCCCAAATTATTCTCAGCCCCACAGTGTGTCGGATATAAAAATGAAAAAGGAAAATTGACTACTTCAATGTGTCTTCCACCAAAAAGTGACATTATCAAGTATATTTTTCATTTCTTAATTAATCAATTCCTTATTTTATTCTGCCTTTATTACTTATTTTATTGTTATGATAAATTTGTAGACAAATCAAAAGGGTGCTCAAGAAGTATAAGGATATTAAGTACATATTTGTTGCTTCTGATTCTAATCATATGAAAAGAAGAACTTCAAAAATGCTCTTCATTACTCTGATGTGGTCATTGTGAAGTTAGAATCCAATAATCCTCATTTAGATTTGGCGATATTGGGACAAGCTAATTATTTTATTGGTAATTGTGTGTCATCTTTCACTGCATTTGCAAAAAAGAGAAAGAGATGCCAAAGGATTACCATCTGAATTTTGGTCTTTTCCTGACAGAAAAAAAATCAAACATGAAGAGCTTTAAGTAATAGGTAAAAATTAGCATTTTATTTTATACAATAAGAACATCCCTCATTTTATGTACACATTATATTGCAAGTCTTTGAATATATTAGTGTTTATTTTAGTTTGGAATAAACAATAAATTGTTATATTAATTCTTAGATAGAGATCTCGTAATAAAGACTTTATTTAAAAATATTATTAGTATTTTGATGGTCACATAACATAATATGGTAATATTATTTTTCTGTTACAGGGTGACACTGATGAAAATCAGCTTTTTCTTTCAAGTTTTTTTATAACTACAAGAGTCGAAAAGAGATATTTTTTTGTAAGAATAATACAGATTTTTTTTTTTATATTTCTTTTTTTTTGAATATTAAACAACCAAACCTCATTGAAACTGTGCCAAGTAACATAATCATTTAAAAAGTTATTGGTTATGTTTGGATATAGATCTTTTTAAATCAAGAGTTTTTTTTCATGTAAAAAAAAATTTTGACGTTATCAATTATTGTTTTTTTTCAACATTTTAAAATGAGTGCTATTTACGTGAGTGGAACGGTATAATCAGAAATTTTGGAAAAAAGAATTAATAATAAACCTAGTTTTCCTCCAAAATTAAGGTCAAAAATAATTCTTAAATTGTTATTAACTTTTAAGACAGTGCCTCGCGATCCACACATAATTATTAGAATTTTTTTATAAAATAGTTCTGAGACATGTATTTTTGCAAACCAAAAAAAAAAGCTTTTGTTATGTATAGCCTACACCTGTATATTTAGTATTTTTATTTTACCCCTGACGCAAAAAGAAGGGTGTTTATAAAAAATTCACATCAATATCTGTCCATGACATTGTAACTCTCAAACGGTTTAAAACTGATTTCGATGCGGTTTTTTTTATATCCGAAAGTTATTTTGCTTGAGTTTGTGGTATCACTTATATCTAAAAATGGTTTAAACTAGTTTTAACTAATGACTTTTTTTACTCATATTCATAAATATAAATATTATTTTTTTAACAATATTTTATAATAAGTTATAATAAATTTTAGCAGCAACAGTAAGATTAAAAAATTAATTAATTCAAGAGCTTGGTAGCCATATAACAAAAGATTTAACTTAATAATGCAGATTGTTATTATTTAGTAATGTAACTTTAAAGGTAAATTTGTATATGCTACTAGGAGCTGACTACATAAATATATCTTGGCCATGATAGAAGAGATATAGAAGTAATTTAAATCTATACTAATATTATAAAGCTGAAGAGTTTGTTTGTTTGTTTGAAAAGCGCTAATCTCCGAAACTACTGGTTCAAATTGAATAACTCTTTTTGTGTTTGGATAGTCCAGTTATCGAGGAAGGCTGTAGGCTATATAACATTACGCTACGACCAATAGGAGCAAGGATATAGTGGTTAAATGTGTAAAAAAAAACTTGAGAAATTATTTCATCTTTGAAGCCTTCCGTTGGTTCAAGATACACAAAAAAATATGTATTAAAAGAATCATCGCTCTTTTAATGATCTAAAAAAACAGTCCGCGACAGTATGTTCTATCTTTTAAGATTAAACTCACAAAAAACCGATTTTTTTTAAATCCTAAAAAATTCTGCGGGAACTCGACCCTTTCCGAAAATCCCGCAAGAACGGGAACTATGTAGGAAGAACCAAGAGATAGTGAGTAATAAACTGTATTGACCAAAATAAAAACATTATAGTAAAATAATAGTACCCGGTACTGTCCTGATTCATCTGAACAATATCTACTTAAAAGTAAATAAATGCAGAGGCATAATTTAATTTTTTAATCTATAAATCTTAAAAGTGGCTTTGAATATAGATTGTATCTGATCTTTTATAGCCAGACTTAACCAAATTAACATTGCTTAACAAACTTAACACAGTAAAATAGGAACTTTTTTGTAATGGGAAACCTTATAAACCCAAATTAGAGATAAGGCCATGTATGATACAAATTAACTAAAACTTAAAATGGAATTAAATATCAATGAAAGTAAGTGTAGCCTTATTTAAAATGTTTTTATTCAAGCTTTGACAGCATAAAACTCTAGGAGGGAAACAAGGACTTTCTTTCTGATCTCCTTCTGGGTTTTTTATCTTTGGCTTCATGTTTGGTGAGGGCCTTGCGCATAGCACGGGTCTTTTTGGGCCTTAAGTCGAGGGGCTTGTACTTCTTGTTCTTGTAGTGATTCCTCAAGTTTACTTTCATTGTTTGGTGGTAAACAATGTAAACACGTGCAATAGCTTTCCTTACCACACGTCTGAAAAATAAGAAAAAAATAAAAAAATTGATATAGCAATTAAAGGAACTACTTTTGCTTGTATTGATTTAAGTTTTATCAGTTAACAATGCTATAAACTTTACTGAGCATGATTTAAATATTTAATTTTATAATTTGTTTTTTTTATTGTACAATAATAAACTTTCTCATAGTTTAGAGCAAGTACAGTAAAAAGTTACATTAGTATAAAATAATGATATAAAACTTACATTTTCGATAATTTAGATGCGACTCCTCCTGTTACTTTAGCAACCCGAAGGGTTTTGGTCAATTCCTGTTTTTTCAACTCATCGAGCTGTTTGAAGAGCTCCTTCTTATCCTTCGTACGTAGTTTCAGAGCACTTACCCTTACCCTGAAATGCAAAAACAAAAATTTGAACAACACAATGCCGGTTTAAATTTTACTGCTACTTAAAAAATATTACAGTTTTTTTTTTTTTTTGGTAATATTTAATATAGGAAAAAACCTTTAACTTCTGAATAATCTTTTCATAAATGCAAACAACCTCAAACAAGTCCTCATATTTTGTTTACAATCGAATCATACAGAAATAAATATTTTTAATGGGTTGCAAAACAGACGCCATATACACATTAAAACGATAAAAAACCACATAAGCGTACAAGATTTTACTTATTATCACAGATTTATTATTTTAATTTTCAACGTACCATTTTGAACCACCTTCTATGGATACTGTTTTTTGACACAAAAGACAGATATTTGACAAATTGACCGTACTGGATGTCAAATTTGATATTTTGTTTTGTCATAAAAGTAGGCAAAGAACCACAACCTCTCCCGCCAAACAAAATTTTATAAAAAAATATATAAAAAATAATTAGATGAAAAATATATCTAATATTTAAAAGTAAATCTGAAAGAATGCATAATTTCTCGTCTACGCCAAAGCCATATAGAAAATATAAAAGTAATGCGTATCAATAAAATTTAAAGGGAGATTTATATAAAAAAAACTTTTGTTAAAATATTACGATATATATTGTAAACGAATACTAATTTTAATTATTTGACGTAAAAAAATGCTCAGAGACTTCTAAGCACAATTATAAAATGAAATGACCAGCAGTGTTAGGTAAAAGTAATAAATTCGTTTGTGGTGTCTTCAAAAACTAAATGTTTTTTCGTTTCCATATTTCTTTTTGACGAAGTAAGTGACCACATTAATAAGTACATAACTTTATTGGACCTTTTAACAAATTTGTTAAAAAAATTTAACTGAATGAACAAATACTAAGATTGTAATTAATTAAATTGAATCTTTTACAATTATACTTGGAATTTACTTTGAAAAATATAAATTGACAGGGTTGGCACCGCTGTAATCGCTGTCATGTTGACAACATTATTAAATATCTAAGCACCAGTTAAATTAAAGAAATGAATTGAAAAGTTATAAAAGTTTAAGAACTTATAACTTAAGAAAAGTTATTGCTTTAATAACATATATTACTGTTTTAATTGATTTTTGTTTGCACAAACTATAACGGTTTTTTTTGTATTTTTTTTTTATAGTTACTGAAATAAAATTAGAACTGAAATGTATGTGATGACATTATATTACAGTGATCTCTCTAAAAGTATTTTTATAACATCTAAAATGAATGAAAGCAATAATATAAATTATCAAAAAAAAAAGCCTCCGAATATTGGGCAGAAATTCCAGCAACTTTAGATGGAGTATTAGGAGGTTTTTGGATTTATTTCAGATGTGGATATTGAAGGATCATCACTGTTTTTGAAGTCAATATTGTCCATAGAAAAGGCCCCAGAAACTAAAAACAGCACTTGATTGTGGTGCAGGAATAGGAAGGATAACAAAATATTTACTAGCACCTGTATTTTTGATACAGTTGATATCATTGAACCTGATAAAAAGTTCATAGACTCTATCCTAGAATTTGTGGGTGACAATCGTAATAAAATAGGGCAAATTGTACCAATCAAGCTTGCAATCAATTTCAACCGGATAAGAAAATATGATGTGATATGGAATCAATGGGTCTTAGGATATTTAACAGAAATCTGACTTAGTTTTCATATCTAGAATGTTGCAGGTATAATTTTAATAATACAAAAACTTTTTAAACTGTTTACTGTATATCTAATTATAAACTTTTTGTTACAGGAATGCATTGTCTAGAAATGGTGTTCTTATAGTTAAAGAAAATGTAACATCCTCTGGTAAAGTCGAGATGGATGAAACAGATTCATCAGTCACAAGACCTCTTAAACAGTATTTAAAGATATTCAAATTGGCAAAAGTTAAAAAGAATCCAAACAAATGTAAAACAAACCAACTTCCCATCAGGAATATATCCTGTATACATGTTCGCTCCTTGTACCAAATGAATGTGATGATGACACACTCAAGAAGATGTATGATGTAAATTGTTCATTACAGGTATAAATTTAAATTATTATATTGTAATAAACATTTTTAAAATAAAAAACATTAATAAAATGACATTTATATTTATTACTATGACATATTTTTGTATAAAAACTATTAGAAAATAATTAAAATAAATGTTACACAACCTATTATAGCCTTTGACACACATATAGATATTATGTATATCCTATTTAATTGATGTATAATGATTCTTCATTGTGTGTATTGTTACTATATATGTAACAAAAAAAATTCTATTCTACTATTAAATTAGAATTAATCATTTTTTATTTTGGTTGTCACTTGTGTATCAACCTTTTGGCAATATCTAGCCAAATTATATTTTGAATGTTCAAAGATATAATTTTTTAAAATATTGGCTCAACCTTAATATGCTTTTGCTTCTATTATTTTATATGACTTCTACAGGTTACTTCGTCAATTAAAGGGCTTAGACTGCTGTAGTGACATGATAGTACTAATTTATTCAAATAATCATTTAATAATTTTTTATGAATCATATCTCCGAATGGGAGTGGTGTCAACATTGTAGTTTATTAATTTTGATATAATTTCTTACATATTCTCGATCAGTATCAGTCAAAAGAGTCCAAGCTCTCTAATTCAACCAATATCTCTAAAACTCATACAACTTTGAATTATTTTATCCACAGAGAGCATTGTTAAAAAGTCAGACTGCATGATTCGAAGTTCCTTTAAGTAAATCAAAGGATTTTTATCTAATATTTTAATTAAAAATTCATCTGTAAGCTGAACAGCAGTTCCTATTTGAATAAATTCAGCATTCAGGCAATTTGTTAACAAAAAACAACAACTGCTCATCTGTGAAAAGTGGACACCAATGTTTAACTTTTTAAGGTTTCTGAAAGGCAAAAATATCTAATTTTTTTTTGTATACAATGAAGTATGTTGTTGAATTAAAGTGCAATTATAAAATGTTAATGTTTCCCAAAAATGGGCACATTTGGCTTTATATACATTAATGCATTTAAGTCTATTTGATCAACATGCTCAAGATGTAAATTTGAGTAAGTTACAACCTTTTAACCTGAAGAAACTTGTTTTATTTTGGTCTGCATAGAAATCACAAGACAGAAGTTTTAAATCATAAAGCTCTTTTGAGACCCATTAATACAGTCAGATCAGTCTGTAATGTATTGTGAAATACTGTCATAGTACATATATTTGGAACACATTGTTACAGCTAATTGCAGGTGATTTGCTAGTGGCGTACCTGCTTACATATGTCCTTAAATTTAATGGACAAGCTTCAGGGCAGTTGTTGTGAATAAATTCTAATACTTTGCCGATTTTCATCACATCGTCCTATGTCCTCTAAGGTATTGCAGTTAATCAGTAAATTAACATAGCCTTCCCACGTCACGAACGTCTGATATAGCTGAATGCTTTTTTCAAATTTTTAAATTTATTAATAATATCGATACTTTTGGTTTGTTATAGATTTTTGAACACGATACATCTAGTTTTCGTAATTTTCGGGACAATTTTTTACAACACACCATAGAATATTATCAGTACAATCGTAATTTATAAAAAGGTGTTATTTTAGGCTATGTAATCCTTTTAAAGCTTGAATGATGGACACCTCCATATCCGCAGTCTTCCAGCCTCCGGAAAGAGATCCTAAATTTAAAAATGTAAGACCTGTTAACATGTGAAGTTTGGTGTAAAAAACGGAGCGCATCATCTTTGGTATGTTGTCTATAGAAACATAAGTAAAATTTTTTCGTGAAAAAAACTTCAGTCATTTTCACTATAACATTCATCTGACTGACGAATTTTGCCATAGAAAACCCCGAAATCCTAATGAGGATTTGGTTTTCTCAATCAAATTAGACAATGATGTTATTGTTGTTTTAGCCAACTTTGTCGTGGAGCATCCATGGTAACGTTTTGATATCTAAATATGATCTTACGGCCTCGATATACTGGTTCAATACTATTTGTGATTCTTGCGGATTCTGTTGTGCAAGCAAAGCAGTAGGATACATTCTATTTTCGGCCTGTTTTGCTATCCATTCTCCCAGCTTTACTAAAGCCAATTCCTTCGAGCGACAAAGTTTCCTTGTATCTTGTCATCCTTATATGAAAAATATTTTATACTAGGTTTATCAACTTCTTTAGATCATTGTTCCCAGTACTGTATAATTCGCTTAAAAGATTCGGGACCTGAAACATATTATTAAATAAGACGCTCAGTAATTAAAAAAACATTCTTCTATATAAACAATATAAACGATCTTAAAGTTTTATTACCTACTTATTAAATTATATAAAATGTAGTGTTTGCAAAAATTTTAATTGTTTTTAAGATGAATAAGTCTATAGTTCTAACTCGCTAAATTTATCTCAACATATAAAAAGCTACTTTGATATTTTAAGGGTAAGGTACTTTAGCTCATAATTTTGGCTAGAGCAGCATTCACTTCTAAACATTCATAGGGTTTGCATATTGAGAATTGATAGGATAACATTAAGGGTAGTTTTCGGCTAATACGTACTTTATACTTTTTTGATAAAAAATCTGATACAAAAATGGTTGTCTAACATATATGCTTTTTATTGTTCATATGTTTTTCCTCATTCGTCATAAATTCTTATGAATAGATATGGAAATTAGTAGTGAAACATAGATTTAATATTACACAAGTGAATATGAAAAAACTGTGGAATCACAAATATTCTCCATTTAAGCTATTTTGTAGTAATAATAAAAAAAAATCAATTATCCCTAGATTTTTCCATACTATGGAGGAACGTAGTTAATACAATTATTTTTAGACAGTGCAACTGCAGTTATATTTAAGTGTGAAAGGAAAAATTGTAATTGAAATGAACAAAGTATTGAAGACGTCGTCAAAATGCATTAAATTAATGTGCGTTAAAAAGTAATTATTTATATTTTATATACATTTTTTTTATAATAATCTACTGTATATATCCAGGTCGTGTTTTAAATAACTTTCTAATGCAAAGTTTTCGAGTGTTCTCAAATATGTAGAAGTAAAAATAAACAATAATTACACACGTATTATATTTCTTTTCGATATTAATGATTTTAATTATGGATTTTTGCCTGAGTGGTAAGTAATCCAAAATATTTATTGCTTTTGTATATTTTTGTTCTAAAGCGTCAAATATGCACTAATAAAATTATATTTATAAATGCCGAAAAACACATCTTATGTATATTGTTGTAAGATAGATGTTTCCGATGCCTTAGGAAATGACTAGTTAGTGATTATAATGCTCAAAGAAAATTAACACTTACTAAAATAACAAAGTAAATACGTCTTTCGTTTTTATATAACTATTTGAAGAACAATAACACAAAACTTGATATAAATTTTTGCTAGCCGATACTCTTACGTCGTTATGTATTTCCGTCGTCTCGAACCTATTTATATCACTAAATCTAGAGAGTAGAGAAAAACTCAAAAGTGAATACCAAAATACATACCAACAGTAAAATATAATAAGAAAGAAAAAATAGTCATAATTTTTGATATTATATTGTATTTTTTTTAAATATATATTAGTGGATTTAGCAGGCGATCAAAAAAATATTAATCATCATATATTTTTTTTAAGCCGTTTGCTAATTTTCAAACGTAATATTCGTCAAGATTTGTATTCTGTGCTTTTTTTGCTGTATAAATTATTTACTACAACATGTGACTTGTTTGAGGAAATAAGAAAATGAAATTTTAAAAACTCGACTGTGAATCTTTTTTTTTTTTACTGTTTTGTTTTGAAAAATATTTTTGAGCGAGAATTTAAAAAAAGGGAATATTCAACAAAAGGGAGTTACCCAATTTGTACCATTGAATTATACAGCCCCAGTTTACGAGGTGGTCCAGTCAATAATTTATAATCTATACTCTATATACATCAGACATATAACAATGACCTTATGACTTATTTGTCAAACTGTCATGATTGATTATTAACCTACTAGCGATGTTTCATATCCATAATAGATAAGATACGCCGATTACCTGCTTTAAATTATCAAAATTTATTTTTCTATGAGGTGTTATATAGTTACTATTTAACGGTGAGTTAAACATGACCTTACCTCTACCTATACCACCCTGCGCTAAAAGAGATGGATTTAAAGCGGTCTAAGTTGCGAGCAGTTTCGAGTACGCAAGTACTATGGCTACGACGTTATTGGCACCAGTGAAAAACAGAACGTGAGATCTTAGAGCATTTCTATGTCTGAAGACGATCCCAAACGCAAAACACTCAACTTTCGAGTGAAGTGGGTAAACAGCCTAGATGGGGCCCAAGACATCGCGGGGCACAAGAACTTTGCTGAATTATATAGTCCAGGTGAATATTTTCCCACAGCCTTGGAGACAGAAAATATGTTTCCCTCATTAATAATTTTAAATTTGCTGTAAAGACACAAGTTATTGCTATATACATTTATGTATGAAAATAATGTTTGATTTTCTTTTTTTTTATTTACATGATAAATTAACATGTAAAGTGACCGATTTATATGTTTTTGCAGGTAAAAGATGGCAGGAATCTGTGTGTGTTATTGTCTGTTGCACATTGTGTGTATGTGCTGGTTTTATTAATGGCCAGATATATCCGGGCTGATGCTACGTTACTACTAGCAGCAGTAGCAGGTGTCCTTACAGCTGATTTTGCATCAGGACTTGTGCATTGGGCTGCCGATACATGGGGGGCTGTAGATCTCCCTATTATAGGCAAGGTATTAAAACAAAACTATCTGTTTCGTTATTACTGTTATTTTTTTCATAAAACTGTCAATCTTGATTAACTTGATTATTATTGCAGAATTTCTTGCGCCCCCTTCCGTGAGCATCACATAGACCCAACCTCTATAACAAGGCATGACTTTATAGAAACCAATGGAGATAACTTTGCAATCACAATACCAGTTCTGGCTGGCAAGAATTGTTTGGCAGTTTATTGACTTATGATAAAAAAACAATTAATGAAGAATTCCATTGGATTGCCTACTGGTATTTGTGCTGTATTTTTGTGGCCCATGACAAATCAGGTAATTTTTTTTTAGTATAAATTACTTTGGCTGTTTGATATGAGCCAAATAATCCTAGGATTACACTTGTCTCACACATTAAATAAATTATTACTTTCTGCTCAAACATTTCACTTGAAATACTTTTATTATTAGAAGTAAAATTATTCCTTAATATTAACATTAACAAGATTTTTCTTTAGAGTTTGAGTTATACTTATTACATTGAAAACAAAAAAAAAAATTATTCGAAATTAAATAAAAGTATAAGATTTTTGTAATATATTTTTTATGTGTGTTTTGCATACAGATAAATATTATATTAGATAAGATAACCGCAAAATGGTTTTTAATTATAAACAACATTAAAACAAAAGATACATACATTATGTGATAAGGGGTTCATTTTCATAGGTCAAATAATTATTAACTTTTTGTCTTATATTTTAAAACATAATCACGGTTTCTTTTGTTGTAAACAAAGCTAAGTTTATGTAAATTTCGTCCAAAGTAATAATATAGAAATAACACAATTGCAAATGGGTTAAATTAAAAAAAGATGTTTTTATAGGGTTATATGTATTCATTTAGGCTTAACATATAATTTTTTCATATTTTGTATAAATTCTACAAGAGTCTTGATTAGGATATTTACTTATTTTGTTACTATATATACATTGCAATATGTTTTTTAAAAACTTTTTTTGCTGATTGTCAAATAGTAAGTGACTAAAGTTCAAAAATGTGATGTCATTTGTGTAAACAAATTGATTTTCTTGTTTAAAACAAAAGTCAACTTCCAAGGTTCGATGGCTTATTTAAACAGTAAATTGCACATCATTTATGTTTTCAGTATAAAAAAAGATACATGTTAGGTGTGACATTCTATCATCAAAATGAAAATTTTCAACTCACATCCTATACTTTTCAATTAATTAATATGTATACATAATTTTTTAATTATTAATTATGTTTGCCATCAGCTTCATCATTAATTATGATAAAGGAATTTATCTGATAACATTTATAACATGATAAATTAAAAAATGTTGATAATATAATTTTTAAAGGTTATTCATTACTCTTCTTTTTTATAAGAGAGGTAAAAGTTTTGGTTTAGTTACTAAAATTCTCTGGTCATGATGTAAGAAGAGCCCACAAATTCTCAAATACCACCTCCACTATACACAGCACTTCGTAAAAGCTACTGATGTATCTGCTTCAACACAACAATAGGCTGTTGTGCATGTAGGAATATAAAATACGCAAAATTTAAACTTGTGATACTTTGGCAGTTTATTTTATGACTCAAATGCTACAGTTTGCGAATGTTTTTTGCTAAAACATTTAAGTCGCTATAAGATTTCTCAGTATTCAACGGGAAGGAAATGAGTAATCAAAAGATGCAGACAAAACCTTTGTCAGACAAACAGCCATGCGCCTTAGTAACAGATTGGCCTTTGGCCACTTCCTGGCGGCCGGCGGTCGTTCGAACAGAAATCTTTTATTCCTTTCATCTGTCGATTTAAACTCTTATTCATGGCATCTGTAAGAACTTAAAAAGCGTTTTCGGGGACACAGTCTGAACCGAACGATTTCCAGGTATTAGTAACCACGAGTAAAGAAATGTTATAGTATAAAAGGGTTTATGAGATTTCACTTCAAAAAAGTTCATTGCTACGAACAGTCACGCTTGCTATTCCCCCTAGATTTGTTAGGTAAAATTGAAGAGCCTTCACGTCTTTTGGAGACCTCTCCTGTGTTTTTTAACAAGCCACGCGATAAATGGGTTAGGTATATCCCCAAATGGCCGACCATCCCCATTGCAGTCATGGATTTTTACGACCTCGTAAATAGAGGGCTTTCCAAATAGTGGGTTCTGCTACCTGTCATAGAGGGGTCAAGGTCTCTCCAATGAGGTTTTTGACATATTCGATTTTTAAGAATTCAGGATAGTGTTATATATCTACAGGTAGACATAACACACGGTTTATATTAATTCTATGTTTATGTAAAATATTTTTTTAAACAATTTTCTTTAGGTGCGCGAAAAAAAATATTATACTTTGACTGAGATATACGCTAACCATGCTAATTAAAAATACATGATGTCCAATACGTGTTTAGATATTTAAATTTAAAAATTTTTTTGTATCATAATATATAGTTTACATACAACGGGTATTGAAATTACCATATTTTTTAGACGACTCGTTTTTAGACGACTTTTTTAGACGAGTCGTTTTTAGGTATTCATGAATAAATTGGTATGTAATAAATGAAACAATTTCAGATTCACAAATGGTCGCACACTTATTTTGGGGTTGCCTGCATGGGTCGTGATGCTGCAGGAGTGGCACATAGTGCTCCCGCGCCGACATCACCGTATACATCACGTAGCGCCGCACGAGACTTACTTTTTGTATCACCACAGGCTGGTTGAACTGGCCCTTGGAAAATTTACATTTCTGGTCCATACTAGAGACAATCATCGAAGCTCTAACAGGCTGCAAGCCCCGAGCTGACGATATGAAAAATGGGCTCAAAAGCGTTTTCATAGAACCTACCTGTACCGTATTATAGTTTTTGCTAATATCAGTTTTAAGCAAATATTGACAATTATTGAAAGTAATAATTTGCTAAGTAATGTCGCTGTAATAAATCATAACTTATTCTAAGATATAAATATTGTGAAGCTGTTATACATTTTTTACAAGTATGCAGAATTATTCAAGTTTTAATATTTTTTTTGCAATATTTGTTTTTTCATTTGAATGTGTTTATTTAAAGAGTATCCTAAGGAAAATGTATTTCTACAATAACTGCTGCAAATCCGTCTAAGACTTATAAATTAAGTATACAGTGAATATTTATGACAAGTAAGCTGTTATATAACGATAAATAATAATAATTTGCACGGAGAGTTTTGTAATCGCCTACAGATTTTAGAATTTAAATATTTATAAACATTAAGTTATTTGTGGCCTTTATTAAAAGCGTAAAGACTGCTTCATGCAAATACGAATTTTATTATTCTATAAATATTGTATAGGCGTGATTTATGTAGTACATGGAGCTAATATTAAACTGTGATATAAAGTCATTGGACAAACAAAACTATATGGGACATATAACATGTTTATTGAGACTATTTATTTAATAAACTGGGTATCAGTATGTCTAATTATGCAAGTATAAAGTGATGTTAAACCTTATATTTTAGTATAAAAATTCTATGCTTGTAGTTTTAAGTTTTTTACAACTATTACAAACTTTTTTGTTTTTTCGTTTTTGTCAGCTTTATATACACTGCTTAAACAAAAAATATTGCTGGTTCAAACAAAAAATGTGTCTTTGAAGAAGAGTAAGAAGATACACTATAAAAGGTATTCAAATATAAGTGCCATATAAACTCTCAAACGGGAAACATTTCAATTGAGTCATAACTGAGACCATATGATGTCTGATATTAAAATTATAAAGAGATGTACATTGACATAATTTATTAGAGGAATTGTTTATACATAACATTAGAAAATTTTGAGCATTTTTTACAGTTTTAACATGTTATTTTTACAGTAATTAACAAAACAATATCTTTTTTAAATACCAAAAATAAACAGCACAAAGATTTATACTACTTCAGTAAAGTAAAAGGAATTAGTTACTCTTATGTGATAGAACAATGAAGGTGCAATATTTTTTTTTAATTTTTATAAGTTTTACGTATACATAGGAAAGAAATGCTATTTATATTTTTATAATAAGCTAATAGTTTACCAAAATATTGTAAGATGCAGTATATAAAAAAGCTGAGCATTTGATAATGTTTTCTAATTTAAATAAAATTAATAAACACTCTTTAAAGAGAGAAAATAAATTTAATTGAATTGTATTTTTTTTTGTAATACATAGGTATGTATTTTGTTTTTGTTATTACATGCTGTCAGCTATTTATACGTAAAGTTTAATAAGTACACTTATATTTTCATAAGTATTTCACGTTTTTATTAACATCGCACAAGCAAATAATACTGAAACCGCAAAAAACGGTATAGCTTATAATTTGTTTTATTAAAACGTCCGTTCATTTTTTTCAAGTCAATTGAATACAATATTAATTTGATTACTTGTTTTTTATTTGAAAATTATCCTTTGTTTTTGTAAAACACTAAAATTTAATAAGATGTCAAAAGCAATAATCTTTTATTTAGAAATAGTAATCTGCTTTCCATTACTCTATTAAACAGTACAAAAATGGAGTTTTTTTGAAATTGTCATGTGACCACATAATACGATCCTGTAATTTAATGTAGTTATGTAGACAATAAACATGGCAAAATAGTTTACTCTTCAACGAAATAGACAGACGTAGAAGAGAAGCTGGAACTTTTTCTTACTTTTTTTATATATTATAATTAATAATAGTACCTAGATATTGTAGTAACTTTTGCATTATTTTTTGTGTTATGATCTTATTTCTTTTATAAATAAATTAGAGAAGAATTCTTAAACTCATTAATATTTTTATCTCATCTCTTGGACACCGCATTTCCATCAATGTTTTTTTTTTTTTATTCTTAGATTGTAGTACAATATCATACGAACATTAATGCCTAAAAACTTTTAAACTTAATTGTATAATAAAATAATGAAAACAATCAAAACTACTTCGAGATCGATGGCTAGCAGTGAAATACGTCGAAAAAAAAAATTAAAAATCTTTTTAGTGAAGGACATTTGGCCAAAATTAAAAAAATGTCAGTATTTAAATAATTTAAAGGAGCTTCTAAGTTTTTGTCTGTCTCTAAAAATTAAGGTTTATATAGTTGCCGGCAACGCAACTGAACAACTAACTTGGAAATTGACAGTGGATGTGCGGAATGCGATTTTTAGACGTCATAGGTATAAATTATAATGCGAGACACAGGGATCGAGACGGCACAATAATAATTTCATGGGCGTGATTAGATGTCCGCTCCAGAGTATACTTGTTTGCACTTCAATTGAATCCACTGATTTTGTTAGTGTTTACGGTTTTTTGTTATTGACAAGCATCAAAATGTAGGTACCACTTTGTTTGCACTAAGTGTACATTCCTAAACATATTCCCCCTAAAACTGGCTAAGGCAGAGGCAGGCAGGCTGAGGCAATTATAAATCGTGTCAAGAAATCTTGATTCTTCAAATACCTGTCTGATTATAAAAATTGTATGGCAGTCAATTATCTTAATTAATCGATTTATTAGCATTCCTACAAAACTGCGATTTTCAAAAAGAGGCTTTGGACATTATACCTTATAACTTATAAGCAAACGCAATGACCCCGCAAATTCTTTTGAAGGGCTTTGTAAACTTAAACCTGCATACAAAACACTTCAAGTATAATGTACCTATGTGTCTAGTTTTTTTTAAGGCCGAGTATAAAATTGGTATAATAAGAAAAATAAGGTACTTTTGTTGCTCGGGTACTCCGACATTATGCCATATTATAATTGCGAAACTTTGAGTGTGTGTGTGTATATTTGTTTACTTCTTCACGCTCAAAACGGCTGAACCGGTTTTTGATAATTTTTTTGTATACAGGAAGCTGACGTCCAGGAAAAACATATAGGCTATATAATAGTGTATATATATAGACATTTTATAACGAAAGTGTCAAGTAAACACATTATTACAAACTACAATGAGCATCAAAATTAATATTTTGGTAGAAAATCACCTGTGACTATTTCGTGTTTTTCTTAATTTTCAAGAAAATTGAAACAAGGCCTAAGGGTATTTTTTTGTTTCAAGAATATTTAATTTTTTTGAATCCATATTTCCATTAATTAAATGAATATAAACCAACCATAATTCCATCGTATAACTACGTAGTCTACTTCCTTAGTACATTAAACAAAAATATCATATAGTATTCTAATTTCTAATATAATCTAACAGCGCAATTGTTATTTTGATAATTCTACAAAGCTGCTCCTATATACTTTTATTTATTTATAATCTAACGTGACACTATAACCTAGCCCATAGGTTTTATAACGTATTCCGTTTAGTTTTGAATATATCTAAACCATGAAAAATTATGTCGGTTGTTGTTTTATGCTCGTAACGGAATGTGATTAAGTTTCTTGCATTATACAAGAATTTATACTCTGTCCAAGTGCCAACTGTACCAACGTCAATTTGAAAAGTCAAAACTACGTTATTTGTAAAGAAACAATTTATACAATATTACATATTAGAGACTTTCATCTACTGTTATGGATATAAGAGCCGAAAAACTAGCAAATGCTCGGAAAAAGGTAGCCTGGATTTTCTTTATAATGTCATCCTTAATAATATTTTAAATAATATTTTTTTGTGTATTGCATTTTAGTTAAGAGACCATCAAGTAAAGAAAACCGTAAACTTAGTTCAGAAGGAGACAACAGAAAACCCAACACCCGAATTAGAAAATTCTCAAAATGCAAATTACTATGAAATTCCTGAAAGAAAATTTAGTGCCGAAGGTTTACAACCTGAAATTAAAGCCAGTACTCAAAACAAAAGTATGGATAACTTACCGGTTCATAATCCGGGGGTAAATGTAACCGAAATTCTTTATCGCGAATATATACCAATCTTGAAATGCAAATTAAAAATTTTACTGAGAAACTAGCACATTTAGAGTATTTGCATGGATCAGAAGTATCTAGTCACAATACTTCTAAACAAAGGATTATTAATCTAGAGAGTGAACTCTCTGACTTATCAAGCAGATATTTAAAAGTTGAACAAGATATGCAACAAAAAAATAGGGAATTTTTAATGATTTTACAAGTCTTGTACAATTCTGTTGTGGAAGCTAATAACAATTTATCAGAACAAGTTGAATTTACAAAGTCAATGCTTACAGCAAAGGAATCAGAAAATAATCATTTACAGAGTCAAATAATTACTTATCACAATCAGTTAGACTCGGCAATGCTGCATATACAACAGCTGACAAATAACAGTAGTATTATGCAAACCCCTACAAACAATTCTATGGAAGAAATTGAATTACTAAAAAAAAAGATATCTGCTTTTAGAGCAACAAATAGTTTGTTTCTACAAAAAGAGAGAGATAATAAGAATTCCCATTATGAACATTATGTAAAAGAATTAACTGAACAACTTAAAAATGAAGTAAATAAAAATGAGAGTCACTTACAAACAATTCAGAACCTGTACAATAGAGAAAATAGTCTCATAGAACAGATAAGTGATATGGAAATAAGATTACAAAATTATCAGAAGAGAATTGAAAATGAAGTCATAAAAGTAGAACATGTGGACAATAGTCAGGAATTACAGGAAAAATATAATTATATCCAGGTAAAAATCTTAACAATGTAGAATTCTGTTTAATTATTTTTTTTTATTTTAACATCACAATGTAATCTTTTTTAGAAACAGCTTGAGGAGACTAAACTGAAGCTTAACAATCTTCAAGAGGAATATGCAAAAAGTGTTGAAACTATACAAGAATTATCAGCTTCTAAAGAAGTAGTTTGTGACCATGAAAACATTAGTATATCAAAATTGAATGCTGATATAGCAAGTGATAAGTTGGCAGCTCAGAGAGCGACAGAACAAAACAGAAAGTTAAAACAAGATGTTTTGAGAATTTAGAACAGGTTGTAGTGAAAATTGTAAGTACCAGTTTTTACATACAAATATAAACTATCAACTTTTATGAGATCTAAGATTTTTCGCGAGTTTTTTATTAATTTAAATGAAACTAATAATCTTCGGTTTTTACACTACGCAACTTTATTTTTTTTTTTTAATTTACTTGGCTACTTTTCAGTAAGAGTAAAAAAAGTAAAAGTAGTCGCATAGTATAATGCGAAATATATTAGTTTCATTTATTATCATTTAAATTTACATACCTTAAAATTATCATTAAATTTTTTTGTGCCATGTCTTAATTTTTTTTTTGTTTCAGAATAAAGATAAGTTAGAATTTAACTGAAAAATTAACACATGAAAAGCAATTAAACAAAGATATAGTCTTAAAATTGGCTGAGGTTTGAAGAAAATGCAAAAAATATGGCAAAATTATTAAAAGCAAAGGATAGTGAAATGAATATAAGACTGCAAAATAATAACAGAGAAAATTGAAAAGAAATATGAAAGCATTTTACAAGATTTGGATCATATGAAACATGTCACAAGTGCAGAACACAACCATGAAACCGAATGTGAAATTTCCAATAATAACTGTCACAATGAAAGAAACATCACTTGTTCCACCTCATAACTGTATAGAAACCAGTAACGAAATAGCAGAATTAGACATAAAACATGAACAAAAAATTCATCCCTAAAGAGGATGCAATGGTCAAACTTCAAGAACGCTTTCTTAATATAATGGATGAAGTTGCAAATTTATCTGATGAGAAACATAGGCTAGAACATATAATACTTCAACTACAAAATGAAACCGAGACTATATGTTAATATGTAGCACTTTATCAGCAAGCAAAGAAGTTTATTAAAGAAACGAGAAGAAGAGAGAAGTAACCAGCTGAAAATATTCCAGACAGAGTGTGATCTGCTCAAATCTCATTTAGAAGCTCTTCGTGAATTATTATTACGATTAGCAGCGGACGAAGAATTAGCTTCATATTTGAAAGATGAAGCAAGATTTAACGATATAATTAGGGTTAAAGACTTACTTGAGAAGTTTGCAAAAACTGTTTTCATTAATAAATCCCAAGTACAATACATTAGATCTTAATATTTTTTTACCCTTGTAATTGTTTGCTCTGGACAACTTATTACCATTTAGAATTCATTGTTATAGTCACTTCTTTATTTATTTATATAATCAAGCAATTTTAGCAAAAGGATAGAATTTCATATCTCATACTTTTTCACTGCATCTATGTATAAAGTTGTTAAGAATTTATCATGTAATATAGTGTAAAATTTGTTATATTTGACATGCAGAATTGTACGTCTTATGCGGATTACATTAATTAAATGGTATCAATTTTAGAAACTTCTTTTATTTTTTTTCGTCCCAATACAAAACGAATACATAGGTTTTTAAAACCAAACAAACAATGACTTTTTTTCAGTGAAAAATTTCGTTTTTTTATTCCAAAAATAATACTATATACACACTGAAAGATTTACTCGTTTGTTTTTTTACAATAGAAAATTTGGTACTTTTCAAATAGATTAGGTATAGGTATATGTATTTTCAAACCTGTTTTGTTTGTCGTTTTTATTTATTGCCCATAACGCATAAAGATCGTAATTTTTTCAAAATTAACTTTGTAGTTGTAAGTTAAGGACTCTTTACTGAAATTATAATCATTTACCTTGTTTCTTCTTATTAATCATAATCAATCTTTATTTTAAAAAACAGTTAGCAACTGTGTATTTTCGTTAACATTCCCCCAACAATTATTTTTTAAATTAATTTAAGACTTGAAGCCTTTAAGTGACACACTATATTCATCTAAAATTCTTAATGATAATTATTAATTTAAGGTTTTTCCTTAGTAGAAGGTATTAATATAAACTACTCCCTACGAGCATTAGTCCATTTCAGTAATAATTTGGTGTGATGAATGTTATATTTTAAATAAAATAAGTCATTGGGCAACAAGTTTATCGAGTAAAACCATTTTTTTTTTGAGAAGGTTGGTAAGCCACTTAATAATACGATGATTAGTAACCATGAGTGATACTCGGCGCCTGGACTTAAAGCTCAATCCACACAATCTTTGCTTGTACCCCACGTACCGAAATTCCATCAGAGCTGAAAGACTGGTCGTCCACATAGTTCTGTCCTTAATTCAATGAATTTCTGATTTCTGGTAAGTTTTACATGGCAAAAGTTAGCTCTAAATGTCAGGATAATTTGGGGTTCCTAAAAACCCATATAAATTGATAATAGGTAGTAAAAACTTTTCAACCTGTTGTAGCCATAATCAAAAGAGGGGACAACTATCGCTCAGTTAGTCGGGCCATTGGGGGTTTTTTTTTTCGACATCGGTGATCACGTCGTCGCGTTGTCGGAAGTGATAGGGAAACTTTATCTACGTGCTCAGACGAGAGCCGATTTTGTTTAAATCTCATGAACGGAAGGGAAAGAACGTAAAGACATCGAAGCACAAAAACGTTATCGTCAAGTAAATTTCACTAAAACTGTATCTTATGGTGAAGGGCCAGTGATTTGAACAGTGGTTGAGTTTAAAAATAATGGTTTTGTAATAATGTATTAAACTACCACACTATAATAATATTAATAAATGTCACATAAATACGGTAAAAAAAAAAATAATATTTTTCATTGTATAATTTTTTTTATAAGTGGCTTTCACGTCAGTAATTTTATATGAATTACTAAATATTAAATTTGAACAATAACAGACATCTTGTAAATGTTTTAAATAAAAAAATTAATTAATTGTAAATTAATCTATAAGAGAAGTATAGAATAATGTAATTAATGGTTGAATGTAGATCTAATTTGAAATAAATCCGTAGTTTAAAATGTTATTATTGTGTTGTAAATAAAAATAAAATGAATCTAATTAACTTTATTATTAAAAGTTCTATTTCTAGTCAAACCTTATTTTTTACGAGGTATTTATAATATATACTCATAATATACCTTTAGTCTCAAATAAAAAGAAATAAGATAAAAGAAAAAAGATACAAATAGTACTTTTGGAGAATTTTCACCAAGGTCATATAATTGGCAATAATCTTGTATAATATTATTCGAACATTAGTTTTCTATCTTGGAAGAATTACTTATGACACGACTGCTTTTTAACATTGTCCTTTAAACCATGTTTTATGAATATTATGATTTATTTTTAAGAGTTAAAATAATTTTTAGAACTATTCAAATAAAACAACCAATTTTTATAATTACTACAAAACCCATATTTACATTCTTTATCCTACACAAATGTTGTAAAATTTCTTACTGGTACAGTATCTATCAAAGTACCAATATCTGAGCAATGATACAAAGATTAGTTTTTATCTATCTTAATAAATCCACAGACATACATTGAGGTATCTAGTTTCCAAGCTAAAAAATAATATTTGGTAATTCTTAGCATAGCACTAGCATTATAATAAATAAGGATAAATCAAAGATTTACAACATTCACTTTTTATAAGTTTGCCATTGCCTTCTTGGAGCTACCTGTAAAAATGTATGAAAGTATTATTTAAAACAGTAATTATTTTATAAAATTACAATTTAAATTGAAATTTGTATAAAAAATATGTACTTGTAAAAATACCTTTAATACAAACCTCTTAACTGCACTAATTTTCTTTTTTTGGACTATCTAGTGTTGAATCCTTGTTTGGCTGCAAATGGAATTTCACTTCAGTTATGAGAAAAATAATGTTATAATAATTAAAATTGATTGAATTATACAGGGTGACTGGTGAATTACTATCGATATTTGAGGACGTGATATTTGACGATCACATATGACAAAATAAAAATTAATATAACATAAATATTAATAAACTTCTAAGTAAAGTTAACCAAAAAGTTATGTAATTAATTACGCATCGTATGAACACCCTACAGATTAGGTATACACTCACACACACATACGCGCGCGGCGGCGTCTTGTTGTATCAGCACGCCGCTTCACGCGTTCACACTTGGAACACTTGGAACGTGTACACACTTTATTTATTTATACGAAATTTGGTCAAAAATTAAGTACCTATTTTTTTTTACATAATTCGAATGAGAATCATGTACCGAGTATGCTCCTTAAATATTGATAGTGATTCACCAGTCACCCTGTATATAAAAATATGGGCGAAAAATAATAATAATTATTATTACCGCAATGTATCTATGATAGAGTACAACACCATAAACACAGCCTATTGAGACTAAAGAATTTGTATAATTAACCATACAATCACATTTCCAACACTTGTGCTTGACCAAATAGCTCCTGCCCATTTTTAATGCACAGCATTGACTCTGTTACCATTATTTGCTCCATAAACCCAACACTGAGTACCAACCCTTTTGCATCTGGGATCTGTTTTACATAGGTGTAATATTGTCTGCAAAATGAAATTGCTACATAATATTAAAAAAGCCACAAATACAAAATGTTTATTTATATTTCAGTAAACATTCATAACATAATAAGAATTTTTTTTTACAACCTCACTGAAGGGGCAACAATAACTCCAATAAGACACAGCCGAGCTATTACAAGTGGATGTGATGGTGGCATTTTCAAATATATGCTTTAAGAAGAAAGTATTCAGCTCTGAAATTTGCCAAAACACAACAAGCTGGCTTAAAGCAAAGAATCTCATATATGTACATGTGGGATCTAGCCACCGAACTGGTGTCCACTGTACTGGTGTAAATTGAAGTATAGCCCTTTTTATTTTTCCTGTTGTTAGATGAAATCTCCCTAAAAAATAATTAAATGTATACTATAAAATGAAGTTTTATAACATATTTCCACTTTAATATGACAAATCTAACCTTATGCCAACCCATTTATATTCTCTCATTTTCCAGAGCTTTACATATTTTAAGTCCACACCATATTCCCAATCCATTGCAGATCAGTACATCCAAAATAATAGAATCCCACCAACATTCT